TCAGTTCATTTGTTAATGTCACCATTGTTGTCATCACAAAACTTTTTAAGTATTGGAAAATTATCAGGTTTACAGTGGTAGATTTTCCAAAATTCTAATTTTCTTTTGAAAGCTCAACTGTTATAATTGACAACAAATGTTTACCTTGAAGTGACAGTTTCATTTATAAATACCTTGAGAAAATGTTTGTCATATGCCCAACTCGTAATAACCATAGTTTGTCTGTCTGTTATTCTTTCAAGTAAGAATGGATTCTCTGAAAGAGTGGCTAGTTTAGATCACAACTCAAACAATTATATAAGTGCTTCCCCTCAAAACAATGATCATGCATGCAGCAGAAGTGCTTGCCACACAGAATATTAAAAAGACTATCACAGAGAATATTAAAAAGATATGTACTGAAAGGTCAAAATTTAAAAACAATAATCTTACTATTTCATCAAGGGCATCCTTAAATAAAACTGGAATTATTATTATTTTTTTACTTCAAGTATATTATAGTGAAAAATATGATAACTGCTAGTACATTTTGGTGCTACTGCCTTGATTGACAGTTAAGCATGGAACTAAAAGTGTGGTTTTATCCACTATTGTTTTTGCACTATCAGTGCAAGTTATTAATGTGGTGAAAAAAAAGGCAAATAATGCCTTGATATTATTATAAAAATAACTTTGACCTCATGGATCTCCTTAAAGTCTCCAGGGGGACCCCTAGAAGCTCACAGGTTACACTTTGAGAACTGTTGATCTAATGAATTTCCCTGTACCTGCTCTGGTCAATCACTCTCTAGCTTTAAATCCTAAAGTTAACTTCCTTTGGCTCTTAGGATAAAATCTAACATCTTTCACATAATCTATCTTGGACCCCTTTCCATTTCTCCAGCCTCATTACAAGCTATACTCTCTATCCGTCAGTACAGTCCATCCACTCTGGCCTTTTTCACTTCTTTAAATGTACCAGGCCCTTTCCTGCTACAGGGTCATTCTCTATGAAGTTTTGTTTTTTAACGCTGGGAAATTTTGCCCCCCATG